TCTGACTGACTGCAGCAACCTGACTGACTGCAGCAACATGACTGATTGACATCAATTTATTCTGATTTGAAGAAGGTGAGGGAGCAGCTTCATTCAGCTTCTGCCTCATTTTAGTTTAATAAAAGGTGTGACGAATATGTTTATCCAAACCTGCAGCTGTCAAAAGGTGTACTTACTAAAATAAAAACGAATTAATTTTTAAACAACTGAATCCAGAAACATGAATTAAAGGGTTAATATTTTACCTGCATTCCGCTGAGATCAGTCCGATTCATAATCATTATAGCAGAAAGTCGCCTCACACACGCCAGGTTTTAATTTACTACAGAATTATTGAATCTTCATGGAGCATTTCGGTCCAGCAGAAGCAGCTGCAGTCACTCTGAAATATTCATGTTTCTCAAAATATTACTGCCAGCTGCTGGCCTGAAACCATCCGCCTGATTTCTAGAGGTTAAGATCAATCAGCAGAATTAGTCCTGGTCATGTTACAGTACCTGACCGGGTCGTGACCCGACCCAGTCCCCACAGGATCAGATCGATTCATCTACACATTTATCCAAGATGTTTTCTTTAGATTTCGCTCGTTGTCAACACTAAAACAAACACAAAAGAATCGCAGGTGTTGCATAAACTGGTAATTTGTGGCGCCCCCTAGAGGTCCACCCACACTGTCACCATTTGAGGAGTTTAAACGTTTTAAATGCGCTGTCTGTGAATGCTATATAGAAGCCAGTTTCCATGAAAATAAAAATAAAAGCCCAACAGAAAGTCATACTTACGAGATTTAGAGTCATAATTTTGAGATACAAAGTAATAATTTCAACTCTGAAAGTCAAATTTTGAGACTGAAAGACAAAATTACGCACTTCTTCATTGATTTTATATAACTTAGCTTATATTAACCTGCACTGGAGAGCAGAGGCGAGTAGTAACGGATTACATTTACTCCACTACATGTAATTGATTAACTTTTTTTGCAGTACTGCACTGTACTTTTTTACTTTTGCTTGAGTAATATTGTTATTATTAGCATCACTATGATTTCTGAACACGTTTTCTACCTTCTGTCAATAAATTTTACTGATGGAAAAAAAAACACTTAACCACAAACACCAGAAACAGGCACACAGTGAGACATCCTGTTTGAACACCAGCTTTGTTGTTCTAATTTTATTTTCAGATTTGCCATCTGCTGACATGACTATATAGAATTATCACTGGGATGTTTTTTGGCCCTGTTCAAACACATAAACACGACCTCCTGCAAGTGTTGGTGTCATAAGATTATTCATTTATTTTTTAGTTTTTCTCCTGCCTGAATGTAGTATTTTGTACAAACGCTAGGTTTTAGTCTTTAAAATTCCAGAATTTGTACATTATTTTATATTTTTGTCTGTCTGATTACATATTTTTAAAATATTTAATCAGGTGTTATGGTCAGTTTTTCAGCACTACCTACTTGTGTGAAAATATGTAGAAGTAGTGTTGCTCTTTCCTGAGTAAAATCTTTGGTTCCTGGCCTTGGAGGACGTTACATGGGTCTGCGCAGGCGCAAAGAAACGAGTTAGCACGTAAAGAAAGAACATCGTTTTCAGTGTCCCGAACTGGTACCAGAACGATTCAAATCGGAAAACTGGTTGCTAGTTCGGGTCATCTAAGTGTTCGGGTGGTCTTTTGTAATACTTTTACCTCGTTGCTGTGCCGTTATGTCGGAACAGTGAACAACCGGTCCGAGGCGCGGCCAGCTAACTCCGACCCCCCTGCTGAGGACGTGTCCTCTAATGAGCGCATCTTCTGGAACATTCATCAGATATTGGTAGGTTATGTCACTAAATAATAACTAATGGTAGTCCAGCTCCGCACTGTTTCAATAGGGGATTTTGAGAGGAAAAAAATGCTAGTGACCACGGTAACGGCCTTACGTTTTTCTTGGGACTAAGTGTTAGCTATGCATGCTAATGACGTTTTCCTGATTTTGGCCAAGTTGAAGAGGAAGGAAGAGGAGTCAAAGATTTTACTCCGGTCAGAGAATCACTACTTTAGATAATACTCAAGTAAAAGTAAATAAGTATTTAGTAAAATGGCTGCTTAAGTACTTTTTACTAAATACGTTTACTATTTATAACACCTGATTTAATATTTTACATTGATGTGATTGGACAGAAAGAATGGTTTTGTGTAAAGTGTGATATTTTATAGACTAAACTGAAACAAATTAATACAAATAAATAGCATAATTACAAAATAACATGAAGACAGAGGAAACATTTATTTTTTCCAGTACAACTGATACACTAGATCAGTGTTTTTCAACCACTGTGCCGCGGCACACTAGTGCACCGTGAGTGATCGTCTGGTCTGCCGTGGAAATGATCTAATTTCACCTCCCGTATTTTCCGCTGCTACTTTTTTCTTACACTTTGAACCATGCGACTTTACTGTGGATTTTTCTTCAACCACCAGGGGGCTCTTTAGCAGGA